CAAGTCTTCTCAAATGGAACAAAGGGTAGTTTTATTCTTCCTTTCAAATTCTTTAAAAAATTAACTTTTTTAAAAAAAAGGTCCAGCTTGGAAGGGAAAAATTGCCATACCATTCAGTATACTTCATTTGTTTTGAGAAGTCAGATCTGCTCTCTTTGCTAAACTATTTCTCCTTGTAAGCAATAGCTTGAGACAGGAAACCAGACAGCAGTCTACCCTGATAAGGGGGAGTATTGTATGGAGTATTGTCTAAGGAGGTGGCTAAAGATCGTTTCTCTTTCTGTCTTCTTCAGGGCTTAGATTGCATGGATGCAAAGTTTTCTCATTGGAAACTTCTAACTCAAAAAACAAATTCCTTTTTTGAATACCCTTAGAAACTCTTTTATTAAACTTTTTTTATATGGGCAAATTTGTTTTTCAGCCATATAGCTATAGAGTTTGCATAATAGCATAGCTGTGCAGTTCAATGAAATATAGACTAAATCTGCTACATGGCTTCTGACAAATTCATATGTTAGAGGAGTTCTAGATCAAACAGTGATTTCTAAAAATGGCAAAATTATTATTTGCATTTTCTGCATCTCAGTACAGCATTTGCATGTTTCAGGAGTAATTCCAATTCTCACTGAATATCCAGTAGGATTTTTAAATTTTTAAAGTTATCCATTAGCAGAAATTCTCTCATTGCACAATCAGGGTATGTCTACACTACCCCACTAGTTCGAACTAGCGGGGTAATGTAGGCATACCGCACTTGCAAATGAAGCCCGGGATTTGAATTTCCCGGGCTTCATTTGCATAAGCGGGGCGCCGCCATTTTTAAAACCCCGCTTGTTCGAACCCCGTGCAGCGCGGCTACACGGGGCACGAACTAGGTAGTTTGAACTAGACTGTCTAGTTCGACCTACCGTTACTCCTCGTGAAATTAGTTCGAACTAGGAGGGTAGTGTAGACATACCCTCAGTTCCTTATAACTTTTCCCTAGTACCGGTCTTTGTGGACCAAACTGTTTTGCTGTTTTCCTCAGCATTGCTATCTCTGGGTCTCAGTCCACACTTTAAAAGATTCAGTCCACATAGCTACATCAGTCAGAGATGTGAAAAAAATACACCTGCGCCCCAACCAACATAGGTATGGTGACTTATCCTTCATTGTAGACACAGCTGTGTTTGATGAAAAAATGCTTCCATTAATGTAGAAAAGAGGAGACTGAGAGGGAACATTATAACAGCTTTCAAGTACCTAAAAGGTTGTTAAAAGGAGAAGGGAGAAAAATTATTCTCCTTTACCTCTGATGACAGGACAAGAAGCAGTGGGCTTAAATTGCAGCAAGAGAGGTTTAACTGTCAGGGTGATTCAGCACTGGAATAAATTGCCTAGGGAGGTTGAAGAATCTCCATCATATTTAAGAGTAGATTAGATAAACACCTGTTAGGGATGGTCTAGATATGGGATGTTAAATTGCATTTAATCAGCTAATCGAATAGTCGATGGAATTTCCATCGACTGCTTGATTAGTTGATAAGGGGGGGAAATGGTAGAGCCACATTGGGCTTAGCTCCCAGCCTCGGGAGCTAATAACCCTGCTGTGGTTCTGTCTTTTAAATGTATTAAGAGCCTCCAGGCTATTAATATATTTAAAAGGCTGAGGTGCAGCGGCAGGAGGGAGAGGACACCGGGTGCAAGCCAGGAATCAGCTGTCCTGGCTCACGCCTGTCCCAGATGCTGCGTTTCTCTTTTCCTGAGTGCTGGGGGGAACCAGCTTTTATGCCCGCTCCTCCGACACACGCACTGGTTCCTGCTCCCCGCCCCTTTCCTCCCCCTTTGCTGCCTCTCTCTGATAGAGGCTTATGCTTATTGGGTAGTTAACTAGTTGCTTACATCCCTAATCCCAGATAGTGGTTGGTCCTGCCATGAGGGCAGAGGACTACACTTAATGATCTCTTGAGGTTCCTTCCATTTCTAGGATTCTATGATTGGAGGGATAGGGGTGATATTCCCACAATGGCAGAGAAACTCCTTCCATCAGTATAGGTTCTGTCTGTGCTGTGGAGTAACAGAGGCATAGCTATAGCAACGTGGCTATGCCAGTGTAGTCTCTGTAGTGCAGACACGCCCTGGATTTTCACTTTTCTCACTCTTACTCCCTCTGACTGAATCAAATTACTCATCTAAATATGAGATTTTCTTTCCTGGTGCTATTTTGGGCCTGAAAGGAAGAAAAGCATGTGCTTACTTCCAATGAAAGTCTGAGTATGTTCTTGCTGATCCAGGGCCTTAAGGGACAACTATTACTATGAGTACAAAGAAATTTTATTACCAGCTATGAGGGGGATTTCCTTTACCCCTTCCAGGGAATCCCACTATAAGAAACTGCTTCTCCTTGGTTGAACTATCTTTTAAGGTTCCTTTTGAAGTAATTTCTCATTCAGTCTCTGAAAGCCTCCCTGGTCTTTCAACATCATCAGTATAGTTAATTGATTTTCAAACTTTTTGGCCCATGGACTACCTGGTTCAATGTAAACCTTTCTGCACACCACCAGTTCCTAATGGAAATTCACCATTAATTACATAATTACACTTGAGCCATTTTGCTAGTGCTGCAGCCAGGGAGAACAGTTTAATTTAAGTGATTAAACAGATCAAGCATTTTAACTTTCTTGTGTTCATTTATCAAACTTCATTTTAAATAAAGTAAAATATTAATTTATGTCCAACACACAAAGTTTCAATATTGTCTTTATTTATGGCGGGGAACCTTTTTGGGGTCAGGGGCCACTGACCCACAGAAAAATCAGTTGGGGACCACAGAAGTGAGAAGCAAAAAAAACTCCTCCAAAAATCCCCAGTCCTCACTGATGAGACATCTCACTCCTCTGGCCCTAGGGGTCAAGGGGAAGGGACAGGGAGGACTGAGGTTCAAGGCTTCCCATAGGTCAGATTTACTTTTCTGGGGTTCTGGAATTAGTGCATTTTATGGACCCCCTTAATCTCTGGGGTGGGAACAAAAATGAGGGGTTCAGAGTGCAGGACAGGGCTGCCAGCAAGTGGAATATAGGTGCAGGAGGGGGTGAGGGTGCGAGGTCTGGGTGGGAGAGAGGTAGCAGAAGCAGGCTGAGAGTATGGTTTCCTGCCAGGGAGAGGGGCAAGGGAGGGTGCAGTGATGTGGCCAGGAGGGGAGAGTTCTGGAGCAGGGTTGGGGGTAGGGTGTCTGTCCAGGAGGGAGGATGCCGGATGAGGCTTGGGGTAGAGTGTCTGGCCAGGAGGGAGGGTGTAGGAGCAAGCTTGGTGTTCGGGGTCTTGGCGGGAGGAGGGAAGTGAGCGAGGGGGATTGGAGTATGGGGGTCTGGGCATGAGGGGGGGATGTAGCAGCAGCTGCCTCTGGACAATGCATCACTGTGCTGCTATTCCCCTACTGGGGTAGGGTTGGGGAGGGGGCTCAGCCCCACCTTCCCCATGCAGCGGGGAGCCCATGAAGCCAAAGCTGGAGCACCATCTCCAGCTTCCAGCTCAGAGGGCGCATGCAGAGGAGTGGGGGGAGACATGAAGAAAGCCCCGAGCTTTCCCACCAGACCCGGCTTGCGGAGAGAGGCAGAGCAAGCAGCTCTGGAGCTGGCGTTGCAGCCTTGTGGCTGCACTGCAACCACAAAGCTCAAGCGGCAGCATTGGCTCCCTGCTGCGTGGGGAAGAGAGAGGACTAAGCTCAAGCCGCGGACCTACTCGTTTAGTTCTTCAGATGTTATCACTTTAGGGGGAGGGGAGCAAGGATGAGAATAGCTTGAGACTCATGAAGGAAGAAGTAGTTTCAGAGCAACAGAAGTGCCATGACTGCAAAATCTCAGGCATTTGACTCTAATTGCCTTGTAGATATATTTTAGAAAAAGCAGCAGTGGATACTGATGCA